ACGCGCACAGCCCGAATGCGACAACGGGTCGGCCAAGTCCGTCACCGCCGGGATCAGTGCAGCGGAACCACTGCGACCGTTGGCCAGGTCGGCGAGTGGGGTGGCGATCTCGGTGAAGGACCTGATGAGCGAGATCCAAGCCAACGGTCCCGTGGCAGCCAACATCTTCGTGTGCCACAGCCTGCTCAACTTCTAGTACCGCTGCCTTCCTCCCCCCACACACACCCCCACCCCACACCCCAAAACAAACAAACAAACCCCATCATGATGGGTTCTCCATCTCACGCTCGTTCTCCGCTCTACTTGCCAGCAATACGACGCCAACGGACGTCTACTCCGGGGACTGCTCCGCCACGTCGTGGGATTTCGTCGGCGGCCATGTGGTCACAATCATCGGGTCCGCTCTCTCTTCTCTCTGCTCTCTGCTCTCTGCTCTCTGCTCTCTGCTCTCTGCTCTCTGCTCTCTGCTCTCTTTCGTTTTGTTTTTTACGTGTGGTGGACGTGATGCAGGTGGGGCACAGACGACGAAGGCAAAGACTATTGGCTCTTTGCCAACTCCTGGGGTCCAACCTGGGGCGACCGCGGTGCGGCCCCCGCCCCCGCCCCCGCCCACACTCACACTGCCCCCCCCCCAACCACTCACCCATTCGCTGGTTGGCAGGCTACGGCCGCATCGCAAGAGGCCGGGACACGGCCGGTATCGAAACGTGGGAGATCACCGCCGTTGCCATGGCAAGGAGCCCACAGCTGCGCAGCAACGCACCACACCACGAACAAGCCGGTGGTCACGATGACGGCCAAGCAGAGGCTCAGCAGCAGCGACAACAGAGCAGGTCAGCAGCGGCGGCGTCGGACATCGTGCCTGGTGCGCCGGTGCAAGGCAACGTGCGCACTGCTCACGCGTACCACGCAGCACAGGTCCGTCAGTCCTCGTCGACTGTTCTTGCCCCAGCCATGGTGGTGGTGCGACCATCTAACCAAAAACCCCCAAAAAAACCAAAAAAAAACCAGGCGGTGCTGGAGAGCTGGAACGGCAAGCTCGCCGCCTCGGGCAGCGCGCCTTACCAGGTGGGCAACATCAACTCCATCACTTACCAGGTGGTGTCTGGGGTGCTGGTCACCACCGACCTGACGCTGACCAACGGCGCCAACACCGTGAATCTGGTGGCCACCCAATATCTGGGGGCGGCTGCCTTGGGCTCTTCCATGCTCGCCATGACCACTATCGCTGGTACGCCCAATCTCACCGTCTTCTTCTTCTTCTTCTTCTTCTTCTTCTTCTTCGCCCATGTGCTGCTGCCCTAATGGTACTAACACGCACGTTGGTGGTGGTCTCTCTTATCATCGATGATGATGATGATGATGTTACGATCAAAATGTTGACAACAAACAGCATCGGCGGGCGCGAGCACGGCGGCTGTCAGCGGGGCTGCAGTCGTTCTTGCGGCCCTCGGTGGTGTGGCCCTGCTGGTGGTCCTGTCGGCCTCGGCCGTGGCCGGAACGGTGGTCTACCGCAAGCACCGCCAGGCCCAACAGACCCTCGCGCAGCAGGAATCCGCCCAGTTCTCCTCCCACACGCAGATCGAGGTTCTCTTTCTTACAACCCCAACCACCACGACCACGACCACCACCACCACCACCACCACCACCACCACCACCAGCCACCAGCCACCAGCCACCAGCCACCAGCCACCAGCCACCACCACACACGACCACGGCCACCGCGCCCTACTGTTCGCAATCGATTTTTGGGGACTAATCGAGGGGGGGACGCGGAGCAGATGGACATGATCGTGCAGGGCATTCAGTCGATCAAGAAGGCGGAGAAGGCCGGCCCTCTTGCTCATCCCATGGCCTTCAAGGTGGTGGTCGCCGAGGCGGAGGAGGTTGAGGAGGCCAAGCCGACGTGGCGGATGCGGATCAAGTCGATCACGGCGCGCAGCCCCACCATCCTGGTGGACAGCACCAACACGAGCCGCCAGCCTGTGCCGCTGGGGGCCATCATCGCCGAGGGCAGATCACCCCAACAGCAAGGTACCAACAATGCCGACACGGACAGTCAAAACTAAGTTCACACGCATTTAAATACAACATCACGAGGACAAACAGCAACGAACGGCCTCCTTTGTGGCTGGTGCTGTTGCAGTCTGCACCAGTTGGTGCAGCGCGAGTCCACTGTAAGGGCACGTTTGATGGCTGTTGAGCTTTAATGGTGAGACAAGGTGTCTGGGGAGCTTTGTGTGTGGCTGTTCAATTTTGGGAGAGCACACAGGCAGTGGTGGTGGGATGGTTGGTGTGGGTGAGTTCAGCTTCCTGTCACTGATCTTGGTGTGTGCATGATTTGCATGGAACTCTGTCCAGTTGTTTGAGTAGGCAATTGTGAATGGCCTTGCACCACAGTGTTGGGATTGGTGAGGCTGGTGTGAGGATTGATGTCTTTGGTGGAATCAGCTATGGTGAGTGTGATGAGGCTGTAGAGCTTGGTGATGTATGTGGTGCTGCTCTGCTTCTTCTTCAGCAAGAAGAGCTTGCAGATGGTAGTGATGAAAAGTGCTGTGTTCTTGGCTGCTTCTGTGCTTGAGGATGTTGAGTGCAGCTTTTGTGGTGTTGGTGCCTTTGATTGATGGGAGAAGGTTGTTGTTGATGAACTTCTTGATGGTGCTGAGCATCTGCTGGGTGTGCTTGAGTTGTAGGATGGCTAGCAAGTGGTCTGTCTCAGACTGATGGAGCTTCTTGGGTAGCACAGTGAGTCTGGTGGCATGGTCCTTGAGACTGAGAGACTCAAGGTGTGTGATCACCTTTGAGTGCCATTGATGGTAGTTGCTTGCACTGGAGGAGTAGAATTTCCTTGTGTGCCTTCTTCATGTTGTCTTGTGGGCTGGTGGTGGTTGAGATGTGGATGCAGTGTGTGTATGTGGTCACAGAATCTGGTGTAGAGCCTGTCTGTGTGTGGGTGTATGGTAGGGAGCCATTTTGAGCCAGGAGAGATAGCAAAAAAAGGGAGTATGTAGAACTTCTTCGAACTGTTTGTCCACAGTAAATTAAATTATTCGCTTTCTTTTTCTTCTTTCGAACCTTGCAGCTTCCCCCAGGTGTCGCACTCACGCCACTTGCTGGCTCCTGTCGCGGTTGTAGAACTCAGCGAGGGTCTTCTCGGGGATGCGGCGCAGGAGCTCCTTGGGGAAGAGGCGCAGGAGCGACCAGGCGATGTCGAGCGACTGGTAGACGTCGCGCGACTCGTAGTTGCCCTGGGCCAGGAACTTGTGCTCGAACTTGTCGAGGAACTCGAGGTAGAGCTGGTCCTCCGAGGTGAGGGCCTCCTCACCCACGACGGCCTTCATGGCCTGCACGTCCTTGCCGATGGCGTAGTTGGCGTACATCTGGTTCGACACGAACGAGTGGTCGCGCCTGGTCATGCCCTCGCCGATGGCGTTCTTCATCAAACGCGACAGCGACGGCAGCACGTTGATGGGCGGGTAGATCTGGCGGTTGTGCAGCTGACGATCGACGTAGATCTGGCCCTCCGTGATGTAGCCCGTCAGGTCGGGGATCGGGTGCGTGATGTCGTCGTTGGGCATCGTCAGAATCGGGATCTGCGTGATGGAGCCCTTGCGGCCCTCCACGCGCCCGGCGCGCTCGTAGATGGTCGACAGATCGGTGTACATGTAACCCGGGTAGCCGCGACGGCCGGGCACCTCCTCGCGGGCGGCCGACACCTCGCGCAGCGCGTCGGCGTAGGACGACATGTCGGTGAGAATGACAAGCACGTGCATGCCGCACGAGTAGGCGAGGAATTCCGCGGTGGTGAGCGCGAGACGCGGGGTGATGATGCGCTCGATGGTCGGGTCGTTGGCCAGGTTGAGGAAGAGGGTCACCTTCTCCATCGAGCCGTTCTCCTCGAAGTCGTTCTTGAAGAAGCGCGCCGTCTCCATGTTCACGCCCATGGCCGCGAACACGATGGCAAAGTTCTCCTCCTCGGCGTCCCGCACGTCGGCGCCGATCTTCTTCACCAGACCGGCCTGGCGACAGATCTGCGCGGCGATCTAGAGATAGAGAAGGGAAAGAAAAAAGAAGAAAAAGACGTCAGCTGCGTTCTTAAAAGAGTGACTTGGGTGGGTGGGTGGGTTGTAGTCAAGGCGGCGTACTTCGTTGTGGGGCAGACCGGCGGCGGAGAAGATGGGGATCTTCTGACCACGGGCGATACTGTTCATGGTGTCGATGGCCGAGATACCGGTCTGGAACATCTCCTGCGGGTAGGTTCGCATGCACGGGTTGATGGGCTGACCTGCACGTGTCATTGGGCGGTTGCGGTGTGCGCCGTGTGATGGTCAGCGGTCGAAAACAAAAACGAAACGTAAAGAAACGAAACGAAACGAAAACCGAAAGTGCAGCCGTCAAAATTTCGGTCGACAAAATCGAAATCATTCGAATCGAAATCGCGCAGTGCGAAATGAATGTTGTGATGGGGGGGGGTGGCAAGGAGGGTTGTCGTCGTGTTGTAGGAGCATACCCTGGATGTCGAGGTAGTCCTCGGCGAGCACATTGGGACCCTTGTCGATGGGCTTGCCAGAGCCGTTGAAGACACGACCGAGCATGTCCTCGGACACGGCCAACCGGAGAATGTCGCCGGTGAATTCGACGCGCGTGTGCTGGGCGTCGATGCCCGACGTGCCCTCGAACACCTGGACGACGGCCGTCTTGCCCGCCACCTCGAGCACCTGGCCGCGCCTCTTGGAGCCGTCGCCCAGCGTCAAGTTGACAATCTCGGCGTACTTGGGCAGCTGCGGTTGAAGAAAGAAAGAATGTAGAGAAGAAGAAGAAGAAAAATGGGGCGGTGGAGGGAGGGATGGATCAGTCCATGGCAACACTTCCTACTTTCTGTGCCGAGCGCCCGAAATCAATCAATTTTCGCATCATAGTCTTCATCGACAGCGACACTTCAATTTCGATTCAGTTGAATGGAATTGAAGCGATGTCTCGACTATACGAGGTGAAGGTGGGGTGTAGTAGGGTCTTTCTTCAGCGTACCTTGACATTGTCGAGAATGACGAGCGGGCCGTTCACACCGGACACTGTCCTGTAGTCTGCATGTAGCGAGAAAAAGTGACCCGCATTGAGAATGATGAACGAGAGACGGCCGGGAGAGGATTCATTCATTCATTCATTCATTCAATGATTTGGAGCTGGGCCAGCTCGTACCGAGACGCGGATTAACGTGGTAATCGCGCGAGGCGGCATCGACGTTGAGCTTGAAGGACTCCTTCTCCTTGCCCTTGTGCTGCTGCTGTCCGTGGTGCGCCATCTCGCTCCTCTCTGTGTTGTTTCTTTCTCGAACAACGATCCTTTGCTGTTGGCGGAGACGGCTGCTGGAAAGGCGAAGGAAGTCGCACCCAACAGACAGCCACTTCCGCCATCGAAAAAGCTCACGACCGTTCTATTTGTCGTCGACACCTCATATTCCAAAAATATTCGAAATATTAGAAACAGTTTTTAAAATTATTTAATTTTCCCGATTTGAGTGCAATTTGAGCAAAATGAAAAAAGAGAACCAATAATGGACTTTTTGGGCCAAATATCATTTCTTTCGCTTTTCTAGGTTTGCCTTTCTCACTCGTGGCGAGAACGGTTCGAACGACAACCCCAACACTACTGCGAACGCCCCCAGACGATTCGTTCTCGAGAGTTTGGGGGATCTAGCATTAATCATCTCTCGACTCTCTCAGACAATCGATCGCGATCGATCGAGTGTTGTTGCTGCTTGAAGGGGAGAAAAGAAGAAGATCCAAGGACGAATCATCATTCATCTGGGCTACTTCTTTTCACGGACGGCCGTGGAATCGTCAACAACAACAACAAATCGTGTTCCATCCATCAACTGCTTCATCTCGAGGGGGTAGAAGGGGAAGAAGGAAATAACACATCGTCTACATCATCATCATCTCCAGTAGAGGACGAAAGAAGGAACTGAGAGAAAAAGATGAGTCTGCACGAGGCGGCGCGGCTGGGGGACCGCGAGCTGGTCAAGAAGCTGGTCAAGAAGGACGGCCGCAAGAACTGCGTCAACCTCGAGGACGCCTACGGCCAGACGCCGCTCCACATCGCCGCCGAGGAGGGCCACGCCGAGCTGGTCCAGCTCCTGGCCGACAAGTACGGCGCGCGGGTCAACGCCCGCGACCAGGCCGGCTGGACCCCGCTCTTCTGCGCCTGCAAGTGGGGCCGCGCCCGGGTGGCCGACCTCCTCCTCCACCGCGGCGCCGACGCCGCCGTGCGCTCCAACGACAACGCCACCGCCCTCCACTACTTTGTGCGCCACGACTACACCCATCCTACGACGACGACGGCGGCGGCCACAGCAGCGGCCACGGCGGCTGCGGCGACGATGGGTGGTGGTGGTGGCGGCGGCGGCGGCGGTGACGCGGGGCTAGCGCTGCGGGTGCTGCGGGGGCTGCTGGAGTGCGGGGCCGACCAGAACGCGCAGAACACGAACGGCGAGGTGCCGCTGCACGTGGCGGCCTACACGGGCGTGGTCCCGTCGGTCGAGGCGCTGCTCTCGCTCGGCTCTGCGCCGGACGCGACCGACCGGTACACGACACACACGACACACACGACACGACACGCGCTCATGACACACACGATGACACACGCAGGAATGGCGAGACGCCGCTGCACCATGCGGCGCGGCGCGGGCACACGCGGGTCATAGCCCTACTGCTCGACTATGGCGCCGACCGCACCGTGCGCGGGGCCGAGTCGGGCCTCACCCCGCGCGAGCTGGCCCAGCTGTCAGGCCAGGCCGACGCCGCGCAGCTCCTCGACGCCTACGTCCCGGTCCCGCCCGTCACTGCACGCGGCCTGCGCGACGATGTCGGCGCTGCGGGCGCCGGCGGCAGCGGCGCTCGCGGTTCGGTAAACAAAGTGAAGCTGGTCCTGTTGGGCGACGCATCGACAAATAAGACGCAGGTGCTGGCGGCCTTCGCGCGTACGGCGACCAATGCGAAGCTGCGACAGACGGCGCCGGCGCCTAGCGACGGCGAAGGTGGCGGCGGGCTGCAGGTGGAGGGCGAGGTGGTGCTCGACGGGCGCGCGGTGGCGGTGGAGCTGATCGATGCGCCAGCGGGCGACGCGGCCCGCGCCGCGCTGATGCCGCTTACCACCCTCTTCCTCGTCTTCTTCTCCGTCATCGACCCCGACTCCTACGCCAACGCACTCAAAAAGGTCCGACACACACACACACACACACACACCGCACACACACGACACACACACACGACACACACACAATTTGTGCTGACACACGCGTAGTGGGTATCGGAGGCGTACTACCACTGCCCGGGCACGTCGTTCGTGCTGGTGGGGCTCAACGCGCACCAGCGCAACGACCCGGCCACGCTCAGGCAGCTCAAGACCCGCGGCATCGCGCCCGTGACGGCCGCCCAGGCCACCGAGCTCGCCAAGCGCGCCAAAGCCATCAAATACCTCGAATTCCAACAGCAGCAGCCGACCGAGGCGGTCGGCGCCAGCGCGCAGGCGCTGTTCGAGGAGGTGGTCCGCGCGGTGGTCTTTCCCACGACGCGGCACCAGAAGGAGCTGACCAAGCGCGAGCGGATGCTGGAGAAGGTGCGCACGGAGGTGGCGGCGGCGATGGCGGCGGAGGAGAACCGGGGCGGCGGCGGCGAGCTGTCCTTCAAGAAGAAGGGCTGGGACAGTACCCACATCCCTAAGAGCTTCGGCAAGGACATGCGCGATATACGCAAGCTCGTACGCTCCCCCCTCCCCCCACACGACACACACGACACGACACACGTATTGTCGTGTCCTGACGATTTTTTTTTGTCGTATGTCGTATGTCGTTGGCGTGTGTCGTGTTTGCGGGTGTCAGGTGCTGAGCGACAACAAGCTGTTCTTCTTCCCGCTGGCGCTGCTCGAGCTCACCAAGCTGCAGACCCTCGAACTCCGCAACAACGCACTCACCTTCCTCCCCGACGCGCTCCCTCGGTGTGTCCCCCCCAATCACCCCGTCGTCCCCCTCCTACCCATCTAACGCCATGCGTGTCGTGCGTGCGTGTGTCACTGTGGTGTGTGTGTGTGTGTGTGTGTGTGGTGTGTGTGTGTGTGTGTGTGTGTCGTGTGTGTGTGTGGTGTGTGTGTTCAGAATGTCGTCGCTGAAGAAGCTGGACGTGGAGAACAATCAGCTGTCGGCGCTGCCGGGCGAGATGGGGGCGATGACGCACCTCGAGGAGCTCAAGCTGCGGGGCAACCTGCTCGACCAGTTCCTGCCGCCCGAGGCCCAGGCCAACGGCACGCGCGGCATCCTGGCCTACCTGCGCGACCTCCACAAGGGCGCCGAGCGCTGCTACCGCATGAAGATCATGTTCGTCGGCAAGGAGGCCGCCGGCAAGACTTCCGTGCGTTCCCCTCCTCCTTGCGTGTGTCGTGTGTCGTGGTACGCGTCGTGTGTCGTGTGCTGACCGTGTGTGCGTGTGCGTGTGCGTGTGTGCGGTGCAGTTGTCGTACTTTTTGCTGAACAACAAGAAGATGGAGCGCGCCCCGCTGTCGACGGACGGGATTGACATCAACAGCTGGGAGATCCCCTTCTCCGACGTGGAGCCGGAGCTGGGCGAGAAGTACATGCGGGACAACTGGTCCAACAAACCCATCAGCTTCTCGGTGTGGGACTTTGCGGGCCAGGAGGTCTACTACAGCACCCACCAGTTCTACCTCTCGCGGCGCAGCATGTACCTGGTGGCCTTCAACCTCATGGACGACGACATCCTCAAAGGTACTCTACCGCCGCCCGGGTTACTATGCAACGAACTAAATTCTGTTTTTACCATGCAATATGTATATATATATGTATATATATATACACATATTTCTATATTTCTCTAAATGATGTGTAACTAAATGACTTAGATGGAGATAACTAAATTTATGCAACCGATGGGAATGTGGTGGTGCAGGGGACTACCACCGGGTGTCGTATTGGTTGCAGAGCGTGACGGCAAAGGCGCGCGGGGCGCCGGTGGTGGTGGTGGGCACGCGGGCGGACCTGGTCCAGCCCAGCGAGATCGCCGAGGTCTTTGCCAAGATGCAGCAGCAGTTCGCCCACTTTGGCGTCAAGCACTACCTGGCCGTGAGCTCGCACACCGGCAAGGGGCTCAAGTACGCAAACACGACACGACACACGCACTGCCGCGCACGCAACGCGACCCGCACGCGCGCAGATGCTTGTGATCGGGGGGGGGGCTGACTTTCAACCACACGTGTCGTGTCGTTGGTCGTGTCGTGTCGTGTCGTTGGTCGTGTCGTGTCGTGTCGTGCAGGGAACTGAGGACGACGTTGATCGAGCTGTCGCTCAAGCAGCGCACCATGGGCGAACAGATCCCGCGCGCCTACCTCGAACTCGAGGGACTCGTCCAGCGCAAGCGGCAGGAGCTCCTCGTACGCTCCCCTCCACCCCCTCCCCCTTCGCCGCCGCCACCCCACAAACCCTCGCGCGTGTGAGGTGCGTTCCTTTCTTGACATTCCTTACATTCAAACCCCAGGCGGCGAAGCGGCCGCCGACGCTGCCCTACGGCGAGTACCGCGCGATGGCCCTCAACGCGCTGCGCATCGACGACGACGAGGCCCTCCTCCGCGCCACCGAGTTCCTCCACGAGCTCGGCTCGCTCGTCTACTTTCGCAAGCCCGGCCTCTCCGACATCACCATCCTCGACCCACACTGGTCCGCCCCCTTGCGTCCGCCCCCTCGCGTCCCCTCGCGCGTTGCCTGTCCCCTCCTCACACGGCACACACGGCACACACGGCACACACGGCACACACGGCACACACGACACACACGACACACACGACACACGACACACACGACACACACGACACACACGACACACGCATGATAGGTTGACGCAGGTGATGGCAACGGTGGTGTCGTCCAAGACGTCGCTCGATCGGGGCGTCCTGCCGCACAAGTTCCTCACGTCGCACATCTGGAAGGGCGACCTCTACCCGACCCACCTGCACGACACGCTCCTCCTCCTGCTCGAGAAGTTCCAGATCACGTTCCGCCTGCGCCGCAAGCGCGCCGTGCTGCGCGCGGTGCAGGACACGGTCGGGCCGACGCCCAACCAGCTCTCGTTCCGGGCCGGCGACAAGATCCTCCTGTTGGAGAAGGCCAAGGTGGGCAAGTGGTGGAAGGGCCTCCACAACGGCCACGTCGGCTACTTCCAGCAGACCCACATCCGCGAGACCCGCGAGCCGCCCGAGTTCACCCTCGAGGACGAGTCGCTCGTCCCGTGCCTCCTCCCCACCGACCCGCCCCCCGGTACCACTCTCTCTCTCATTTTATTGTTTTCTTTATAAATTTCTTTATAAATATTTATGTGGATATGTAATATATTTATGTAATATATTAAATTTATTTTTAATATGTGTAAATAAAATAAATAAACAGGGACGGACAAGCACTGGCCCGCGGGGTGCGAGGCGGGGGTGGTGCGTCAGATCGGGCGGCGGTGGCGCTTCGACTTTCTGCCGCTGCCCTTCTTCCCGCAGCTCATCGTGCGGCTGCTCCACTTCATGGAGTCGCGGGTGCACTGGCGCTACGCGGTCGTGGTCGAGGCCGGGGCCGGGGCCGGGGCCGCGCACGCGCTGGTGCGGGTTGACCACAGCGAGGGCCACCTCACGGCGCTGGTGCGGGGCGACGACGAGGCCGAGGCGGCCGAGCTCATGTCGGTGCTCGAGGAGGAGGTCGACACGCTGCGCGAGTGGTTCGGGGTGACCTTCACCGACGTGGCCGCGCCGTGCCCGCACTGCTGGCGAGAGCGCGTGGCGCAGCCGCACCACTTTTTCGCGGTCGAGGCGCTCGAAGCGGCGTCGGCCAACGATGTGGCGGGCCTGGCCTGCCCGCGGGCTGCGGCCGGACCCGGGTCAATGGTGGCACTGCGTGACGTGGCACCCGACATTGCGATGACGTCAGCCGGCTGCGCGCGGGTGGCCTACGCCGACCTGCGGCTGGCCGACCTGCTGGGCGAGGGGGCCTACGCCGACGTCTTCCGCGGCACCCTGGGCGACGAGACCGTGGCCGTCAAGAAGCTCAAGAACGCCAAGGGCTTCAAGGAGTTCCGCACCGAGGTCAAGTTCATGAGGTAACCAGTCTCGCTTTTCTTTTCTTTTCTTTTGCTTTTCTTCTGACTTGGCGTTCGGCCAAAGTGGGGAGGAGCACGAGAACATCGTGTCGCTGCGGGGCGTGTGCCTGAACCCGCCGTGCGTGATCACGGAGTACATGGAGCTGGGCAACCTGCACGGGTACCTGGAGGACCACCGCAACGTCATCGAGTGGCGCCAGGTGGTGGCCGTGGCCCGCGACGTGGCCCGCGGCATGCACTTCCTCCACACCCAGACGCCGCCCAAGATCCACCGCGACCTTAAATCGCCCAATATTCTCGTACGTTTTCCCTTCTTCCTTTTCCCTTTTCCCTTCACTACGTCAAATTTTATTCATTATTATTTACGTTTATTAACTATTTATTCATTTATTTAGCTCGGGCGGCGCAACGACCGGCTGGTGGCCAAGGTGGCCGACTTTGGCACGTCGCGGTCGCTGGCGCCCACCATCGGCGGCCGCATGGTCGACAACCCGATCTGGCTCGCGCCCGAGGTCATGCGCAACGAGGAGTACACCGAAAAGGCCGACGTCTATTCGTTCGGCATTATTTTATTCGAGCTCTACGCGCGCGCGTTTCCCTTCGGCCGAAAGACGCGCTTCCAGATCGAACTCGACGTGGTGGCCGGCCTGCGGCCCGACCTGCCCGCCGACTGCCCGCCGGCCTGGGCCGCACTCACCAAGGCACACACGACCAACAACACGACACGACCAACAACACACTCTGACGCGTGTGCGACACGATCAACGACACACACCACACACCACACACCACACACCACACACACACACACACACACACACACACACACACACACACACACACACACACACACACACAGGAATGCTGGCATGACGACCCGAGGGTGCGGCCGTCGTTCGGCCAGGTGCTCGAGCGGCTCGGCGAGACGACGACAACGACGACGACCGAGAGCGCCGCCGGCGCCAGCGCTTTCCTGGTGCCGGTGGCCTACCGGGCCGTGAGCGAGTGCCCCTACGCGCCCCCGCTCGGCGGCAGCCCCGCCTCCTCCCTCGCCTCCGCCCCCTCCGGCACCAGCAGCGACGCGACGCCGTTCGCGCTCGCGGCGGCCTCGTCGTCATCGACGATTACGACGACGGCGGCGGCGATGGCAAAGGTGATGAGGGGCGAGGTGGTGTTTGTGCCGGATGTGGCGCCGCCCTACAGCCCGACGACGTCGCCGGTGCCGCTGCTCCACGGTGGCCTCGCGCTCACGCTCTCCCTCGACGCCCTCGCCACGCACTTTGAGCCCCTCGACTTTGAACGCACGCGCACCACCTCCCTCCCCCGCCTCCCGCACACGACCTAACACCGCACGCGCACGCACACGCGCGACACACGCACGACACACGCACACGTGTAGAGTACTACGTGTCGCGTCATGTGGTGGTCGAGGCCGCGCAGAGCAAGGGCGGGGAGAGCGCGTCGAGCAGCACCAGCAGTAGCAGCAGCAGCCGTACCACCAGCACCGGCGGCACCGCCGCTGCTGCTGTCTCCACCAGCAGCAGTGGATCGGTCGTGGCGCGCACGGCGTCGTCGTTGCCGGCGCCGGCGGTGGAGGAGGCGGCCAAGCCGACGGCGCGTGTGCCGTCGCCGGCTGCGACGCGGGGAACACGCGCGGCGGCGGTGGCCGCCGGTGCGGGGCTGCGACCGCCGGCCCCCGTGCTGGTGATCCCGCTCGTGTCCGAGTTCGGCCTTGCGCGCGTCCTCGAGGGTCCACCGGGCGCTCTGCCGGCCACCGCCACCAGGCTCGACAACTCGTACGCCCCCATCCGCCCCCATCCGCCCCCATCCGCCCCCATCCGCACCCATCCGCACCCATCCGCTCCCATCCGCCCCCATCCGCCCCCTCCCGCCCCCTCCCGCGTAGATCCTGACCGGTGGTTGTGTGTCGGACACAGGGCGGAGGTGAAGGACGAGTGGGAGGTGGTGGTGCAGGTGGAGGCCCTTTGGGTGGACCGGCGGGCGGCCGCCCACGTACGCAGCAGCAGCAGCCGAGAAGGAGAAGGCAACAACGACGACCTGGGGGCTGTCGTCACGCGGGCCGTCGAGGAGCAGGGCCGGTTCCTCCACCGCCCGACCGACTCGTCGGCCCTCCTCCTCGGCTCCGTTCTCCACCTCGGCGCCTCCGCCCAATCCCACAACCTCGCCCAGGTGCGTGTCTTGTGCCGTGCGTGTCGTGTGCCGTGCGTGTCGTTTTGTCTGACGTGTGTCCGGTGACGCATCACAGGCCGGCGCGCGAGTGGTGGCCTGCGGCTCGCTGCGCGGGGTGCCGCTCGCCCTCTCCTCCCCGCCTGGCGCCGTGGTCGGCGAGCAGCTCCTGCCCGCCGCCGGCACCGCCGTCGTCCCTCCCTCCGTACCGCTCGTCGTCGTCCCGCCCCTCCTCGCCCCCGAGCTCGCCCTCCTCGCCCTCGACCTCTCCGCCTCCCTTCACCAGGTCGAGCGCCTCCTTCTTGCCGGCGGCGATGGCGTCACGAGCAGCGTGGTGGTGATCGGCTGCGGGTGGGGCTGATGACGCTGGCCTTTGTGCGGAGGGTGGCGCCCAAGGCGCGCGTGATCGCCGTCGACGTGTCGCTCGAGCGCGTCAACCTCGCCCGCACCCTCGTCGCCAACGCCGACACCCTCAAGCAAATGTACGCGTCGCGTGTCGTGCGTGTCGTGTGTCGTGCGTGTCGTGTTGCTCACCAAGACACGACACGACACGACACGCACAGGGACGCGAAAGAGTGGGCCGAGCTGGTGGCGTTTGTGCGGGCGCACACGGGGGGCCGGGGCGCCGATGTCGTCCTCAACTGCACCGTGGCGCCCCACACCGAATCCGCCTCCCTTCTCGCTGCTTGCCGGGTTCGCCCCCGCCCCCGCCCCTTTGCTGACGTCACGCTGACCTCATGTGTGTGTCGTGTGTCGTTGGTCGTGTGTCGTGTCATCAGGGCGGGACGGTAGTGCTGTCGCCGCAGCATCGGGTGGACAAGGAGCGGCTGCTGGGCGGGCTGGCCGGCGAGGTGGAGGTGGTGGTCGGCGGCGGCGCCGCGGTGCCGGGGGTGGTGGAGGCCGTGTTCGAGCTGCTCCTGGCCGACCGACCGCTCAACGCCCTCTTCTCCGCCATCGCCCGCCTCCCGCCCACCCCTGCCGCCTCCTCCTCGCCACCGCCCCCGACCACCTCTTCCATCCCCTGATCTTTTTTCCCTCTTTCTTTTTCTTTTTCTTTTCATAAGCAAAAATATTGTCAAAAAAACCCATTCATCCACTACAAAATTCACTAAACAAACAGGGGCCATTTCTTGCTGTTTTCTCTCTCACTCTGTGGCACTTTCACCTTGATCTGTTCTCTGTGGACAGGTGTGGCCCTGTACTGGTGCTAAGCCCATCTCTGGTGGTGCAATTATGACCACCAATGAGGGTGTATGGCTATAAAGAAGTGGATTCACTGTCATAACATCTTCAACCATCACCCAAGTTCAGTGTTCTCCAGCAGGTTTAGGATTAGAAATCATGGCTCTCCAACCACACACATGGCCTCTCTGGCCATGCTGCTCCCCATGTCTTCCACAGTCATAAGAAAGTTGATGGGAAACCAGAGATGTGCAACAAGCCATACCAACTCCCAGTTCAGATGTACAGATTGTGGGAGGACCAGATCTGTGCACAAAGAACAAAAAAGGCTAAAACTGCTGCACCAGAAGAGAATACAGCAAAAAATGGCCCAGCCACGTCACCAGGAGTACCAGAGGTCATGCACTGGCACCTTGGTATTGTCCCCAGTCAAGGCACAGGATCTTGAACCAGTGGCATGATTGAATGATCTTGAGCTCACAAGAAATAAAGAAAGAAGAAAAACGCCAAAACCACATTACCTCACACCTGTGGCCTTTGCCAAGCAGGTGGCTGTGTGAAAACAAGAGTTGATGACAATGCCTAGAGAAGGGGATGGAGAATCAGAAGATGACAGGCTTGATGGTCACAAGCAAGGAGGGCAATCTGGAGGTGCTCAGAGAAGCTGATGGCTTTGGTGGTCCAGGGCCTGCGCATTCTCAGTGATGGAGAGCAGCACCCTTCTTCCTCCGTCCAAGACGTCGCTCAACTGGGGTACCTCCCCCACGCACCATCCACACATCTGGCAGAGCCCGCAGCCCCCTCGCTCCCCCCCCCCTGGACACAGCTGGGCCGCCGTCCACGCAGCAGCCAAGGAGGGAAGCAGAAATGTCACCACAGTGCACCAGCTGTATAGAAAGTACTTTATATTGTGATGTTCGAAGCTTAGATTTGGATGGCGTTGATCATGCAGACGCCTGCGAGTCCTGCGTAGCAAGGATAGTCGTTGAGCAACCCGCCTACGAAGACCTGCAGGCAATGTTCCGGATGTATGTCTATCATGTAACCAGAGGGCTCACCACCACTCCAGAGAGACTGACCAGAATTGACCAGGAAATCGTTGGTAGCGCCTGACGTGCCCCAGTGCCACGCGTAAGTGTTTGGTGCTTCCGGGACGTAGCCGGAGTCCGTGACGCCGTCCAGCCAGCAGCCGTGTTCAAAGTAGGTTTCCTCGGGCGTAGGATCAGCGCAGGCCGCACCGACCGCGGAGAACTCCGACGGCGAGGTGAAGGAGGCCAGGGTTCCTCCTTCCGAACCACACACTTCCACGAAACTCTCATGTGTGCCTGCCCCATACGGGAACCGCTTGTAGCAGTGCGCAGGGTCCGTTCCGCTGGGCTCGGCCATAATCCAACCCTCGGGGCAGGTCCATCCCTCCGAAGAGCCAGTGGTAGACTCGCCGGTAGACTCGCCGGTCGACTCGCCGGTCGACTCGCCGGTAGACTCGCCGGTCGACTCGCCGGTCGACTCGCCGGTAGACTCGCCGGTAGACTCGCCGGTAGACTCGCCGGTAGACTCGCCGGTAGACTCGCCAGTAGACTCGCCGGTAGACTCGCCAGTCGACCCGCCGGGAGGCGTGACGGGCTCATCGATCGAAAAGAAACCGACAAGTTCAGCAAACCCAGTTTCGTTGGCGGATTTGTAGAAGTCCTGGACATTAGGGATGTTGACACACATCTCCTGGAAGTAGGCCTCGGGCTCCCAGTAGGCGCCAGGCGCCACGAAACCTTGCCCATCCAGAGCAGCCTTCATGCAATAATAAATGCTTGAAATGAAGGGCCGTGCGGCGGATTGGGAAAACATCATGCGTTCGCAGAGGGACCGGCGAGTGAAAGGTTGGACCACAGGCATCGTTTGTCCCATATTCTGGCCCGTAGAATCAAGATCTACAGTGAGAATTCGCTCAAATTGACCGCATGCCTCGAGGGCCTGGGAGAATGACGAGAATGGGATAAGGCGCAGCGTGACATCATCGTTGGAGTCCGTCGGCTGCGCTGGGGTCCCAGTTTGGTCGCGCTCCTCGCAGCATTGTTTGAGGTCTTCCAGCAGTTTGGCGCACTCCGCACTGCGGGCCGATTGGAGCCATGTCGTGTGATCCGAGACATTCATCCCTTGGGGCACTTCGCAAACGTCGGTCAGGGATAGGCCACAATCACCGTAAGACCACGCCCTGGACTTCACAGTTCTGGGGCAGCCCGTGTACGACACTGGCGAGAAGTAGTATCCACCAACCTGGGCAGTCCAGTCCTGAACATAGGGGAATTTGTCCGCGTCTGCAGTGCGAAACGAGTGTGAGACGGCTGTGCCGGTAGGGAATTGGCGGGCGGGAGGGGGGGGGTATGGACCGATCACTGAGAAGTATTGGGTGGCTTCAGTGACGACGACTTCAGAACCGTACATGGCGAGGTTGTACGGCCGGTCATTGTCTCCGACATAAACGGAGAATCGCACCTGAGAATCGGTATTTAGCCTTGGGGGGGGGGGCAGGGGAAGACCAGAGGGTGGTGAGGGAAGAGGAGCGGTACCGACTCCGTGCCATCGGCCTGCTGGGTAACGTCGATGTTCCACTCGTTGACTTTAGTGTCGTACCATTCTGCGAGAAAGGCTGCTACATTGTTTTCCTCCAATACCATCAACGACGGCGGGTTAAGGGAATTCCAGACCCACATCTCAAGGGTTCCTGAGCCATCGGCTTTTCTTAATTGGAGCGTGGCCTTACGTTCGCCATCTCTTGTTTCAAATGTTGTCATTGTGATCGGCCGGATCATTTTCTTATCATCGAGAGGGTCGTTCCTGTTAAGAAGCACGGCGTCAACAGCGAGATTGATTTCACTTGACGGGCGGTTACGGCTCAACGCACCGCATCTTGCGGAAGGTTACACTGCTCGTGGACTGTACGGGCCTAACTCCCGAGTCCGCCAAGAACCAATTCGTTCCCCAGACATCTGTCTTCCATAAGAAGACTTCGCGCGTGGTTTCGTTAAAACGTTGGACTGGATCCGCACAGTGCCCCGCGGAAACCGAGACCAGCACTAGTACACAGGCCAGTGCCACATGGCACAGCGACAGGTGTTGATGCATGCCTGAAGCTAGCTTAGAGATTCAGTTGTTGCCCGCCTCAGCATTCCACCTGCCGTATATTCCAATCCAAATGAGATTTCCAGCAAATGCCAACGGATGATTGCCCCTCTGTTTGTTTTTTCACGGACCTCGTTGGTCAGGACGGGATCCGTTATCCGTGACGTTATCACATTGCGCCAATATGCTTGGAAATCTCTTTTGGATTGGACTACCTACCTGCCGGGAAGGAGAACCATTTTTGTCGACAGTGGCTGTGGTTTGCCCACAAAAAAATCAAATCCTGTTGGGATTCGCGGCTGTCTTTCCTGGCCTTCTTCATTCATTAAGGGGGGGGGTAAGGAGGGAGGTACGGGGGAAGGAAGGTGCGTGCGTTATGTATCGAGGGCACAGGCAAGTAGCGTACTTGGCCTTCATGTCCTATGGGTGTGGTGCGCCATGTCTGGGATGCTATGGACCTCGTTGGTCAGGGCGGGATGATGGTCAAACCATCTGTTTTGTTATAGTTTCACAATTGGCCTCTTCCGTGATGAGCCTGAAATTTATTACATGACCTAGCTAAAGGAGAATCTGGTACAGCTGTCCTCAACCTGTGAGCCAACCGCGCGCGGGTAGGAGTTCATGTAACCCAGACTGCACATGGCCGTGCCTCCGGGCATCGTGGGATCAGTACCGGGAATATGGGTGTTGCCAGAGTTGCGAAGCAGCCTGATGTGGCCCTTGTCACCCCAGGCTACGCCCCATGAGTTGCGAATGTACCAGAAGGGAGTCCCGGCTGTCGCAGTGGTTCCCATGCCTACAGCCAACACGGCGTGATTGGCCCTAATACCTGGGGGACACTCCTCCGTGTTGGTGTAGACGCTAATGCCGTAGGATTCAACAGGTTGGTATAAGCAAGGGTCTTGCGGATCCCCGATGTTATGATTACCACAACAGGGCCGAATAAGCATGTGCGATTCGGAGACGAACATCGAAGTGGCGAAGGGGGCCCGCTCATTTAGGAAGAGATATGTCATCTGCTTCTCGCTGAGGGGACCGACATCGATCAAAAGCTGGAGAGCATTTCCAGGACCAGCCTGTCCCCACGGGAATGGCGAGTTCGGCTGATACATGCATTGACCATGGTTGTGTTGTGGGTCGCGTACGATGACCTTGTCATCGGTCATATTGTAGGTCATTGGGTAGTCTGCTTCGGAGGCGAAGCCCGTTGTAGCGCCGGAGCCCTTAATGTCCAGGGCGGTAAGTCTGCCCATGTAGTACAGTGACGCCAGCTTCATCGATCCAGTGCCGCATCCAGCATTTCGCTTTCCACCCAAGCTCTTGGAAGGCACGCAATCGACTGAAGAGGAAGAAAATGAGAGGTCAGTGGGCCTTCATAAAATTACAGGAGAAGAGGGCGAATTACCGTGCTGCTGCAGAGACGCTACTTGCGACATCTGGGTCATGTCGTGGGTGTTATTCTTCTGGCAGTGCCACAGCGATATAAAGTCGGCGTGGGCGTAGGCCCAGCACGCCCCGCAATTGTCCTGATTACGAATGGGCAGGCCGCGCGGAAAACCGGTCTCATTCTTGACAGTCCCTGATTCGCATCCTTCGCGCAAGCTCCAGGCGTAATTACTTCCCTCAAGTTGCACTTCTCCGAGTCCACCATCTCCTTCCTCAATCTCAGACTGCTCATTCGCCGCGTCGGAAAATGAAATGGAGGTCGGGGGGCTGGAGGTTCCGGCATAGCAAATTTTGTCGACCTTAGAGACTTCCCAGGCCTCATAGTCGGCGTGGCTCCCCACAATACACCCGCCGAGGAGCAACGTCCCCAGTAAAACCCACGAACACAGGCTGTGCATCGTGTCGCAGCGGTTAAATCACGTATGTTGTTCCGACGGCGCTGTAAGCCAAAAATTGATCGCACTCCACAACATCCAAGCATATTTCTGTCAGATTTCTCCCAATTCTCACAAGGGACGACAAAACAGTTTGCTGTTGCGTTTTCCTATGTATACTTTAACTGCAGTCCGCGATGCCAAGTCTTTTGGCACTGGTCGTTGTACTGCTTGCCGCGCTGGCCCTTGCGTATCCAGTGGCAGCCCAGTCGGATGTAACTAAGACCGTGTGGTATGCTCGATTCAAGCAGGTGGCTGCCACCTTCAATGCCCCAAACTTCGACGAATGGGAACAGCACATCTCCCGTAACAGGATCAACTTCGTCGACACTATCCCTCGCGACCGGTCTCAACAACTGCTCCGTACCTTCAAAGCCATGAGAGATTATCAAGATTTGATGAGTCAAGTGTCGGCCTACACTGAGGCAGTTTCATACACCACGGGGTGCACCTTCAATATCAGCTCAACAGGGCCGTACGCCTGGCTTACTCCCGAGGAATATCAAGCCACTATTGGTGGTATACTCCCGAAGTTCGCAGAAACCTACCAGGGCGAAACTCTTTCCTTGTCTGCCTTTATTGGTTCTCTCAACCAATCGAGCGTGGTTCGTGCGCCGAGTGTGGATTACTCTGCCCGCCGTGGTTCCGATGGTACTGTCGTTCAACAGGCCCTCGCACTGCCGGTCCCTGTCATCGGTTACGGGTGCAAGTCGAGCTGGGCTGTGGTTGTTGCCGACGCCCTGTCCCTTTACATGCAATATCAACGAGCTCATTCCGACAAGGCCCGAGCTCGCTCCGACCCCCGCACCAACAGAGGTCTTATCGCTTCCGCGCAGCAGCTCAGTACGTACCCTCCCATCATTTACGAACACATACGCCAATCAGGGCTGGGCCTAACCTTGACTCCCCCAATCCAGTTGACTGCGCCCCCACCTACCCGAGCACGGGTGGACTCAGAAACCCCTGCGCAGGCAACACTCTCGCTAGTGCCTTGGAGTACATTACCGGTCGCAACTACGCCACTTCCATGCCCGGTGCAGCGCCCAACCACGGCCTTAACCCCCTGTCTCGCTACGGCCCCGCCTCGAGCCGCGGCACCTTCCGAGGCAGCAGCGACGTATATCAGAGTCGGGGTTACTGCGCCGCCGAGCCAAGACAATCCAAACGGTTCTTCCTGGATGGGGCAGATGAGGGTCGTGGCTACAGTGACGTGGGCGATCTGTCTGCTGCCCTTGGCTTCTCAGTCTCTGAGGATGACATGGAGCTCCTGCTTAACTACCGCCAGCCGGGAAGATCTCGCGGCAGAACTGGACCTCTCATTTCCTCTGTCTACGCTGGATCTCGCTTTTTCCAGCTCTACAGTGGCGGCGTATTCCAGAACATCAATGGACTCCCAGACAGTTGTCCCATGGGTTACAACTATAAGGCTGATCAACCGGTACTGGTGATGGGATACTACAAGAACGAAGAGACTTCATCTTCATACTGGGTCTTGCGCGTTCCGTTCGGCCGTACTTGGGGCGAACGTGGATCCATGAAGCTGGCGAAGAATGTTCCTGGAATGCCAGTACCCCTGTGCGGCCTTGGGACAGTTGTGGGCGTGTTCCTTCCGCCGAACTATCAGCTGTCCGCAGGCGCCAACGCCCTTGCTCCATCGGCTCACTGCTGAGGCACGGCATTCTTGACTGAAAAGGAATTCAATAAAAACAAGTTTAAGATGAATATCTGTCGCCGCCATCGTTGTGTGCGTGTTGTTAGTTACAGGTGTGGAAATGGAGGCAAAGCCCATGGGCACTATTGCGGAGTAACTGGTGGGCCCACTACGAATAGGCTTGTTCCATCTCGAACAACTAGGCTTCAACACTTGTAGGAAATCCAGTAGACTATAAAATTGTTTTTGCTTTTCCCACACGCTTCTCCTTCCCACTTCACGCTGGCGAATTTTTGCTCCCGAAACTACCGGTTCGCCCCACTTTCCAAAAAGCGACGTGGGATGAAAAGGGCTGAAAAACTCAATAACCACCTTCCAGCTTCCGGGATATCAGTGAACTTTCGGGTGTATATCAGCCACTGCCATAAAACCTTGGTTGTTTGTTCATCTGTTAGTTCATAACTCACCAACAGAAACAACAATGCTGCGCACCGTCTTCGCGGTCACCCTGTGCATACTTGCCCTTCAATGCTACTCTGCGGCTGCCCTGGCCCCGCACCTGGAATGTGAACCTTTCTGGGATGCTATCACCTACTGCAGCGGTGACAGCGCCGTTGGACTCTGGGAGCGCAGGTGGTGCGAGCGGTGCTGCGAGGGCCTCTCCGCTCAAGACACCGGCTTTGCCAGTGACATCTTTACCGACGGAGCCGCCTCCCCCAATTCGGTCGTCTCTGAATCCCAGTCGCTCGCCTTGGCAATGAGGAGGGCTTCTGCACTCGTCAGAGGTAGCGATCTGCAACCCCTCAACAGGGCGCACTACATCGCCTCCGGCAGGAGTGGCGCCAGCTACGAGCCGACCTCGGACGGCCAGACTTTCGGACCGAGCACTTGCAGAACCTCCGGCGCTACCGCCACTAGCACGCAGACCTGCTGCTCTGGTCTTGCTAAAGTTGCCGGATTCTGCCAGCCGGTCAAGAGGTCCTCTGATTCGGAGGTCGAGGTGAAGAGGCAAACCTCTAGCCTGGTTACCGGTTATGAGAGGTGCCACCACCACTGGTCTCTGACTGGTCCGGCCAGCTACGAGGGCAACTGTTTCATTCGCCGTCTGTCAACCCACCTGCCCGCCAACTACATTATCTGGAACGACAAAAATCTTGCCAACTGCAGCGGAGAGCCTGTTGCCGTGGCCGATTCGCTCACCTTTGGCTCCGCTGTTCCTTCGCGAGTGGATGCGAACGGTTTTGTCAACATCGACAAGTGCCAGAGCAACATGAACTGGTGCCACTGCTGCTCTAAGAAGAAGCTGAGCCCTCTCTTCGGCAGCTTCGAGTACGCTGCGGGTCCTGGCCTCGACATGGACGCCTTTGACGGACTCGATTCCGGCAGTGATGATGAATCATTCGGACCGAGCACTTGCAGAACCTCCGGCGCTACCGCCACTAGCACGCAGACCTGCT